ACTAAATATTTACTATCACTAATATTATTAGATATGGTACTGTAAATTTTACATTAAAAGACATTTGGAAAACATGTGCTACTAAATCTCTGAAAGAAATAAAATGCGCCCTCTGTGCAAATATGGGTATGAACAATGAATAACCTCTGTGCTGCGCGGGCCTCACGGTCCTCAGTTTACCCAAATTCCTCTGCCGGCTCTTCCCACCACCTGGGCCTGTTTTTTACTCTCAAAGTTAACAACTCCCACAGGGTCTAGTTCTCGGTGACTTGAGTCTTTTCCCTCCCTTCTCTCCAACCTCTCCAACCTGTGCAGAAACCACGCGTTGTGCTTCTTAGACTGGCCTGTGAGTGCTTGACTTCATCTCTGCCTCAGGTCATACTAACTTCCGGAAAAGGGCGCCACGTTTAGAATATTGCTGCTAAAGTGTCCTTCACAAGCTCAGGGACGATGATCCACCAGTGAGGTCACGGAGAACATACTCAGTTTTCTTGAAAGTACAAACGTCCCCGAATTCCGATGGTTCGACTACAGATTTTTTTGACTTTATCGTGGTGTGAAAGTGATACCCATGCAGTAGAAACCAAACTTCAAATTGTGAATCTCGATCATCACCTGGGTGCTGCTGTGATACGATTCTCGTGGCGCTGGGAGGGGCAGCGAGCTGCAGCTGTCAGTCAGCCCCGCGGTCGCGAGGGTAACCAATGGATGTGCTTCCAGCCATTCTGTACCCAGACGACCATCCTGTTTCAGTCCAGTGTTCAATAAATTACGTGAGATAGTCAACACTTTATTATAAAACAGGCTTTGTGTTAGATGACTTTGTCCACCTGTAGACTAATGCAAGCGTCTCAGCACGCTGAAGGGAGGCTGGGCTTAGCTATGATGTTCGGCGGGTTAGGCGTATTAAGTGCATTTTTTACTTACGATATTTTTAACTCACCATGGGTCTATTGGGTTGTAACCCCATCGTCAGTGAAGGAAGATCTGAACTTACAATTCCTACGTGTCTTGGAAATCAAGAGCATAGCCTCTGAATTATTAGTTTTTCTAATTTGCAGAAATCTGGCTTGGATTTTACTACTTTTGCATTGCAGCAAAGATTGTCAAGACTTGTCT